GTCTATGTGTGTTGCATACCACACTATCCCATCTGCTACTTTAAATTTCAACAGCTCTCAACAGAGCTATATTATTTGAGACTTCCCTAGTGTGTTTTAAAAATTTTTTTCTGCGAAATAACAATGCACTTCTAAGCCCTCTTTTTTTTTTTTTTTTTTTTTGCTGAGGCAATCGGGGTTAAGTGACTTGCCCAAGGTCACACAGCTAATAAGTGTCAAGTGTCTTAGGACAGATTTCAACTCAGGTTTTCCTGACTCCAAGGCCAGAGCTCTATCCACTGCACCACCTAGCTGCCCCTAAGCCCTTTTTTCCAGACGTGGGAAACTATGGATTTGGAACATTGCATATATTGTTGGATCAATCAATAAACAAGTATTTACTAATAACCTACTATGTACTAGGCACTGTGCGAGTAGGCAACAAGGAATATAAGAACAAAGAATGAAACAAGAAGTTTACTGATAATGGGAGAGACAACAAAGTATAAATATATAGCATAGAGTGAATAAATAAAATATATATACAAAGTAGTTAAATCTAGAATAGAATAGAACAAAAGCACAAGCAACTGGGAGAAAAAAGAGACTTCATGCAGAAAATGGTGCTTGAGCTTCATCTTAAAGGAAGAGAGAGACAGAGGGAGTGAACTCCAGGCATGTGACCTTGGTTGTTGGACTTGGTTGACATGTTGGTAGTTTTGCTGAACTTCGCCCCCCAAACTTTTCTGTTTATTCTTTATTATAAGAATATAACAGGGTAGAAGCAGGGAGAGAGTTATTGGAGAGTGAAGGTGATATAAAAACAAAAGATATCAATAATTTTTTTTAAAAAATAAGGTATTTCTTCTGTTTCCCATTATATTTTAGTCTTCTCCTTAAAAGTTATTTGGTGATCTTTTTATTCCTTCTTTGATGATTTTGTTATCCCCTCTCACTAAGTTGAGAAGTACTGTGATAAATATTGGTTCAATTCTAATAAAAGAATAAAACTAACATGTGATTGTTTCACTAGTCAACCAGTCAATAAACATTTATTAAGCACTTATTTTCCAGGCACTCAACTCTTACCTGTGGCTCTAAGGAGCAGTAGCATGCATAGCAGCTACAACCCAGTGAAACCATCACCATTGATAGGCTAAACCTGGCGGGGGGTAACAGGGCACAAACCTGTCCATGAATTAGGGGGTGCCTACCCAAAGCATATGAAGACTGCTTCCAGTGGAATGGGTGGATGAGAACAATTTGTTCCAAAAGCCACAAAGGCAGCTGAAACTGATGCTCTGGAGCCCTTAGAGTTTGGTCAGACATCAAAGACAACAAGGTCATCTGCTGCATCCACGGCCTTCACCGTTTGTCCTGACTTTTGTCTTGCCACTGGACTTCTATGACTTTGGAAGAGAGAGTGAGGCTGACAACTTTGTGCAACTCTGCTTCACTTAGATCCAATTCATGGGCAAGTCAAGACATCACAGTATACCCAGGGTTTCATAGAACCATGGTGCTATTCAAATGCAAAGGTAAACTATATCTAATGTCAAAGAGATGATGAACATCCCTGGTGAATCTATGAGGTATGTCTCAACTTATAGACTGAGCTCACTGGAGTTCCATTGACAAATTTTGAAGAATCAAATTCCATTTAGAAGAATCAAAATGCTTGACTAAACAATCAAGTTCTTTTAGTCAACAAGTCAATATTGATTCGACAGACATCTGTTAATTGTCTCTGCTTGCCAGGCAGTCAGCACAAAGGAGGTTCAAATGAAATTAGGCATAGGCTGTGCTAGGAAGAATCAATGGAAATAAAATGCTTAACATAGAAGAAATGGAGTGCCATCAACTTGAGTTTGTATAAAAAAACCAAATTCTTAGGGAACCCCAGTGGATCAGAAAGGTTAAATTCAAGGAAATTTTTTTTGCATTGACTGATCATTTTGTCCATTTTTAGTGTTCTCAAGGGAAAGTGAAGATAATTACAGTGTATCTGTATGCAGTATTTTATTTTTGCAATGATTTATATCACTGTTATTCTTTTTTAAAAACACCTAGTCTAAACTTGACAAATACTAACTTTTCCATATATAAAAAAATAGAAAGAAGATTGTATATGAAACCATGAATATTTGTGTAAGGCTCCCTAACCTTTTGTATGTCATGGACTTCTTTGGTGGTCTAGTAAAACCTATGGACTCCTCAGAATAATGTTTTTTAGTAATGTTATATAAAATGAATACAGAGGATTACAAAGGAAATAAATTATATTGAAATACAGTTATCAGAATATCTTTTTAAAAAAACAAGTCCAGGGACCCCAAGTTGAGAACCTTTGCACTATTACATATTTATTTATTTATTTATTTGTAAAATATATAATAAAGTCAACACATCAGTTTCATAGTTATCTTGCTCTTTTGTCCCCCCCCCCAACCTTTTCCTGTTGTGTGAATTTTTTAATTATTCCAATACTCAAGCCACTGTTAGTTTCCTCTTTCATAGTGACCCACATGGTGGTTTAATTATTATTATCCCTTTTAGCATTCTGTTTTATAAATGGTGGTACTGAGACCTGAGGAAGTTAACAGGAATCAGAGGGAATTGGAAATACTAAGGTTTATCCTTGATCCAATCTTCATTTAAAAAAAAAAATGGTCATACATTCCCTCCCCCCTTACTAGTTTCTACTTGACATAATAAGGCATCAGAGTTATCAATAAGTGAGTCCTAATCCAAAGTTTGGGATTCCGGTTATAAAATCTTTGTTTTTAGAGGTTTATAGTTGTGAGTCAAGGCAACCAAAAGAAGTTTCTGGGTGTCCACTGAGGTTGTATTGATGGCAAGATCTCCTGAGTTGATTAGAAGTAGTTTCAGCTGATTTATCTCAAAAATTAGCCACTTTATGAGAAAAGCAGAACCACAATACAAACTTTCCAACCAGTCAACAATAGAAAATACCTATTTCAAAAATTTCCCTTTCCATCATTGGGCAGAGGGAGAAGAAGTTTGCCTTCCCACCCACAGTTTCCCCAGAGACATTTCATCTAGGCTGTTTTATTTTCCCTACACAAAGGATTTTCTTCCATTTTTAAAGCCTCATCTCTTCGAGTAATGTATTGTTTCATCCATGGCACATTTCTGAGACTTAAGAAGACATCTTCAAGAGTGCTATGGGACTCAGGACTACAAAGCAGCCTGGGCTAAGGAGAGAGCCACTCCCTGGGCACCAAGCTAGTATGTCAGTCATTTGCTGGTTATTTTTAAGCAGATCAGACCAGGTGATTAGGTCAATGCCAAGCACATAGTAAGTGTATGAAAAATATTTGTCAAGTGATTGATGTTAAATATGTACTTAGTCTGTGATATTAACAATATCATACACTGCTGCAAAAATGGTACAAATCCCATTTTTAGGCAGTGTTCATCCTTTGTAAACAATTTCTTGTGGTAAAGGGCAAGAATTCAATTTCATCCTCTTTCTAAATATGAATGGCAGGGAATATTACAATCCCTCCAAACTTCTATTTACTTCAATGTCACCACATGTGTGTGGAAGCTTTGTGATTAATAATGGGTTTTATGAATACATGGAAATGTAACTAATTTAAGTATATCCTTTATATATACATACATATATACTAGTATAGCTTATATACATACATGCACATATGTATGTACTTATGCATAAATATGCATATGTCTATTTATCTGTATGTATATCTTTCTATCTATCTATGTCTTTCAGCATCATGGTTTAACTTAGGACTTAGGAAGACCTGAGTTCAAGTCTTGTCTGTGACCTTTGATGCATATTAGCTTTGTGACCCTGGGTAAATTACTTAACCTCTTACTACCTCTGGCAACTCTGAAAATGCAAGTTATGGGAAATTTTCACACCAAGAGTTCCCTATACCAACAAAATCATAGGTCCAGACCAAAATACACTGAGTTGATTCAATTCAGCAAACATTTATTAAATGCTATTTGCTAGGTATTGGGGATAAAAAGTTAATGATCAAGCAGTCCCTGACCTCCAAAAGCTTACATTTTATTGAACATGTTTGGAGAAAATTAAATACAAAATATATACAAGGTGATTTTCATCAGAAAGCTATTAGCAACTGGGGTCTGTATTGAGGAGATTAAGATAGGGTTCATGTAGGAGGTGACATTTGAACTGAACTTGGAAGGAAGCTAAAAAATTCCATGAGGTGAGGTGAGGAGGGAGGGCTTTCCCAGCTACTAAGGAATCCCTTTAAAGTCTCAGCTACCCTTTCTACCAGTGAGACTTTGGGTAAGTCTTTTAACCTCCCTGAGTCACAGTGTCTTCATCTGCAAAATGAAGGTTCTGAACTAGATCCCTCTGAAGTTGCTCCCAACTTTATATCTGTTCATCATTACAAATGAAATCCTAAGCTTTCTTATAAGAATTAAACATCTCCACACTAATTCACAGTAGCTACTTCAGTAAAAGGCCTAGGTACTGCTAATGAGTTTTGCACTGAGAATCATCTTTTCATTCTCTTTGTTGTAGTACTTCCCCGGGGGAGGTCAGGTAATGACTAATGCAAAAAAGAAAAAAAATCAAAATAGAAATTATTAGCATGTACTATCATGCATCAGAACCCCGTCTACATAAAGAGCAGGAAATTGCTTAAATATCAGACTACCGTATATATCACAAACCGTGCCTGCTGCACACAGGTAGCCCTGGGGTCCTAGCTAGGGTAGCATCCAGTAAAGTTCACTGCCGTCTGCCTAAATATAGTGGGACTACGGCTACCGTTGGCTGAGGTTAATCATCTGGTTCACGGTACAAATCGAGAAGCCCGGTCCTGAGCAGCAGCTGAGCCGAAGCAATCGAGGGATCAGTGCTCGCGGCTCCGGGCAGCGGCTGCGGCAGAAGGGGAGTGCGGAGCGGGCAGCCGACGCGCTGGGCTTCGGCGGGCGAAGGGGGAGGCAGGGGTAGCGGCCGGCGGGGCCGGGGCCGGGGCCGGAGCGCCAGCAGGCAGGGAGAGCCGCGAGGAGCCCCCTCGCCAGCCCCGAACCTGCCGGGGGGAGGGAGCTAGAGACGCGCACAGAGGGGGCTCCTCTTCATGCCCAAGCAGGAAGTGAGTACAAGGAAGAAGCCAGCGGAGACACAAGGAGGAGGAGGAGTTGGGGTGTTTTTATCAGACCGACCCGGGAAAGCCGGAGTTTCCATCCTTCTCCTTCCACTTTCCTTTCGCCCCCCTTTCCCCACGCTTCCCCATTTGCCCCGAGCTGGTTCTGGTGAGCCCCACACCCCGCCTCCATGGCTTCTGCGGAGGACCCTCTGCTTACAGGTAAGTTGACATCGAGGCGGGGCGTACCCTCACCTGCCGGGCGGGTAGCGGTGCCCTGAGGGCTGGCCGCTGGCTCTAGCTGAGGGGCGGGGAGAGGGAGGAGGACCGAGTCTCAGCTGCTGCCCGGACGTGGGGAGGCGCGGGATGGGCACCCAACGTGGCACCCCCACCCACATTCCCCACCCGGGGCCGCGTTTGGAGCTGTCCTTGCGGTGCAGGACGGGGCCCCGTGGTCGTTTGGGAACTCTCGGAAAACAAGGTTTAGGGGGTGCAGTTGCCAATTCCCCTCCACCTCCCAACCCCTCACTCCCGCACACACTCCTTGTCTCCTTTCCCCATCCCCGTCTTCTTTCCTCTTGAGCCTCTTGCCCTCTTTTCATTTCTTGGCCCCAATCGCTTTTGTTCTGGACCGGGAGATGCCAGGTTGAAACACGTCCAACCCATCTCCCTGGCATAAAGCAGTTTAAGTGTTTGATTCCTTCTCTTATTTCCACCTTCCCTACTTGCATACTGTGTAGGTCCTCTCCCCCCCCCCCATCTCCTTCTTACCTTAGTCCCACAGTGGGGGTTGGGTGGGGGGCGGAGAAAGCGATATGTGTCATTCCAAACTGTAGTTACTAGAAAGTTTTAAAAGTCAGGATCTGGTCAGTCAACAATCATTTATTAAGCGCTTACTATATGCGAGTCCCTGTGCTAAGGGCTGGGCATACAATGAAAAGCACAGAACCAAAATAAATTCAGTGCACCGTGAGTTCACATCCATGGTGGGTTTAACCAGGATATTTTCTACTATATACTGCCTCTGAGAGTGAAATCGAGTAAAAACCTTCAATTGAACTCACCCTGAACTCATCACCTCTCCCAACTACATAGCTACGGGGATGCTCTTGGTCTTGTACTCTAGCCCTATATAGAGTCCAGACTATATCGATACTTTTTCTCTGGAAGTTTCTGGGGTTGGCCCCTCTAGGGAGGGCCAAAAGTAATTACTTGAAATAAGTATGCTTCATATTTAGTTACTTGAACTTTGACATAAAAGAGATCTTACTACAGCTACCTTGAGGCAATCAATAAATCAATAAACATTTATTAAGTACCTACTATATAGCAGGGACTGTGTTAAATGCTAGGGATACAAAGAAAAAGGTAAAAGACATTAAGAAATGGAGATGATAGTTGACCAAAAGTTTAAATCAGAGTACTGACTTATTTTTGTTAATGTGCTGTTCCTTGAGGAGTTTCCTAGAGTAGCAAACAAGTCAACAAGTATTTAAGGGCCTTCCATTTGCCAGCCACTGTCAAAAAATGTCTGATTATTAAGAAGTGGAAAGTGATAAATGGAAGAAAATGGATAAACTTGCCTAGATATCTCTGTAAGAAGGACATGCCCACCTCCAATTCACCTCTTTCCTTTGGAAAGAGTCAGGAAATGGAGATAAAGCATTATGGAAACTCCTGGAGTGGAGACCTGATCTTTTGAATATCCAAATGTAGAATTTAGTATTCTTCTGGCACAAGTGCCATGTCCTGCTGGGTGATTTTTGCCTGGCAAATTATTCCCTGACCTGCTGTTAGGCTATTACTGCTCATACTGATACTTTAGGAGAACATATTTACTTACTAAATTCTTCCTTCTTATCTCTATACTTTTTCCACCTCTTTTTGTGCTTGATATTAGGATTACCATCAGAGAAATATAAGCATTCAACTCTTGGCAACCAGCCTCCATCCTTTTGGCCTCTGGTGAATTCTAAGGCTAGTCTTGATAATGGATCTAGCTTCTATGCCTGGTACCCCAAAAAGTGTGAATGTTAGTGGTGGGGCAGCTAGATGGTGCAGGGGCCCAGAAATCTGGAAGACTTGAGTTCAAATTTGGCCTCAGGCACTTACTAGCTTTGTGTTCCTGAGCAAATTACGTAATCCTGATTACCTAAAAAAATGTTAATGGTGATGACTTTTTCTGATATTTCATTAAAACTTTTGTGATTTTCAGGATTCCCCCATTTATACAATGAAATCACAGTATACTACTTTAGTATCATATAATGTGGTATTATAACTTGAATCTGAAGAATAAAGATAGAAAAGTTAAACACTAGCTCTACCAAGCTGACAGAACAAACATACTCTTTTGTTTTGTTCAACAGGATCAGTATTTTAACTGGATTCACCCCTTAAAGTAAATATATGTGTCTATGTATTTTATGACAGATATAGACACATATCTACATATACACATATACATGAGCAGTAGAATAAAAAACATACAACTTTTTCCTATTAAGAAAACCCATGACAATTTTGGGTTTTCCAAAATAAAAAATTTCAGGACACATATAACCATTAGAAAACTAATTTGTTTTTATATCTATCTTACTAACTCTGTTAGTAATATGCAGTATAACACTGACTAAATCAGAATTTTTCTTCTGGAGGGGGAGAATATGTAATTTTGATTTTCTCTAGCAGTTGAAAACTAAAGGTGAAGAAAGGGTCTGTGATTTATATAATGGTGATAACATTCACTGATCCATTTTCATTCCTATGAGAAATTATATTCTTTGTGTCATTTCAGTGTTAAAATTTAAGATTTAAATTTTAGTTTTCCTATATCTTTTCCCAGAAAATTGACAGTTTTAGTGTTGGCTGTACCTATTGTACCTACCACTCCAAACCTGGCATCAACATGAGGAAAAGTTTCCTGTACTGTTGTATTCACCATCCAGTTAGTTATTTTTGTCTATCATACCAGGGCATGCTACATAAGGGCAAAGCCAGCAGCCTTTATCTCAACAGTTTGGGTTTTTTTTTTCACTTGATAGTATTTCATTTTTTCCAATTACATGTAAAGATAGTTTTTAACATTCACTTTTATAAGGTTTTGAATTCCAAATTTTTCTTCCTCTTTCTCTTCCTTCCTCCCTCCCCAAGACAGCAAAGCAATCTGATATAGGTTATACATGTACAATCATGTTAAACATATTTTCACATTAGTCATATTGTGAAAGAAGAATCAGAACAAAAGGGAAAAACCATGAGAAAAAAAATGCAAAAAAAACCACAAAAAAAAAGTGAAAATAGTATGCTTCAATCTGCATAGTTCTCCATAGTTCTTTCCTTTGGATGTGGATAGTATTTTCCATAATGAGTCTTTTGGAATTGTCTTGGATCATTGTATTGCCGAGAAGAGCTAAGCCTGTCATAGTTGATCATCGAACAATGTTGCTGTGACTGTGTACAATGTACTCCTGGTTCTGCTTACTTCACTCAGCATCAGTCCAAACAAGTCTTTCCAGGTTTCTCTGAAGTCTGCCTGCTCATCATTTCTTATAGCACAATAGTATCCATTACATTCATATACCACACTTTGTTCAGCCATTCCCCAATTGATGGGCATCCCTCAATTTCCATTTCTTTGCCACCACAAAAAGAACTGCTATAAATATTTTTGCACATGGGTTCTTTTCCCTTTTTTATGATCTCTTTGGGATACAGACTTAGTAGTGGTATTGCTGGATCAAAAGGTATGCACAGTTTTATAGCCCTTTGAGCATAGTTTCAAATTATTCTCCAGAATGGTTGGATTAGTTCACAGCTCCATCAGCAATGCATTTAGTGTTCCAATTTTCCCAGCTCTTCTCCAACATTTATCATTTTTCTTTTCTGTCATATTAGTCAATATGATAGGTGTGAGGTGATACCTTAGAGTTTTAATTTGCATTTCCCTAATCAATAGTGATTTAGAGCATTTTTTCATATGACATAGGTAGCTTTTATTTCTTCATTTGAAAAGTGCCTGTTCATATTCTTTGACCATTTATTAGTTGGGAAATGACTTGTATTCTTATAAATTTGATTCAGTTCTCTATATATTTTAGAAATGAGGTCTTTATCAGAAACACTGGCTATAAAAAATTATTTCCCAGCCTTCTGTTTTCTTTCTCATCTTGGTTGCATTAGTTTTGTTTGTGCAAAACCTTTTAAATTTAATATAATAAAAATTATCCATTTTGCATTTTATAATGTTCTCTATCTCTTGTTTGGTCATAAATTCTTCCCTTCTCCATAGATCTGACAAGTAAACTATTCCTTGCTCTTCTAATTTGCTTATGGCATCACCCTTTTTGCCTAAATCATGTACCCATTTCATCCTTCTCTTGGTAAAAGGTATGAGATATTGGTCTGTCTATGCCTAGTTTCTGCCATACTGTTTTCCAGTTTTCCCAGCAGTTTTCGTCAAATGGTGAATTCTTATCCCTGAAGCTGGAGTTTTGGGGTTTATCAAACAGTAGATTACTATAGTTGTTTACTACTGTGTCTTGTATACTAAACCATTTCCACCATTCTATTTCTTAGCCAGTACCAAATAGTTTTGATCATTATCTCTTTATAATATAGTTTTAGATCTCGTATGGCTAGGCTACCTTCCTTTGCATTTTTTTTATGAATTCCCTTGATATTCTTGACATTTTGTTCTTCCAGATGAATTTTCTTATTATTTTATCTAGCTCTATAAAATAATTTTTGTTAGTTCGATGGTTATGACACTGAATAAGTAACTTAATTTAGGTAGAATTGTCATTTTTATTATATTAGCTCTGCCTATCCATGAGCAATTGATATTTTTCCAGTTGTTTAGATCTCACTTTATTTGTGTGAAAAGTGTTTGGTGATTGTGTTCCTGGGTTTGTCTTGGCAGGTAGACTCTGAAATATTTTATATTGTTTACAGTTATTTTAAGTGGAATTTCTCTTTCTATCTCTTGCTGCTGGGCTTTGTTGGTAATATACTAATGATTTATGTGGGTTTATTTTATATCTTGCAGCTTTGCTAAAGTTGTTAATTGTTTAAGTAGTTTTTTAGTTGACTCTCTGGGATTCTCTAAGTATATCATCATCTGCAGAGTTATATTTCTATTTCCTCATTGCCTATTTTTATTCCCTCAATTTCTTTTTTCTTTTGAGATACAAGTATCATCTTCCCGTGTGGGGATGTAAACA